TGTTCATATACCTTAAACAATCTGAAGGCCGTGATCCAGCATGTACGACTCTGCTCACTGTCGGCACACATCAGCTTCAAATCCTGACAGCGAAACCTGTCTTTTGAGGCCTACCGTGCATACACACACATTCATGTTCATTTAGCTGTCTACATGAGGAAATACTATAGACTTCTGATGCTGTTATGTAAAGGCAATTATAATTATTATAGACTAACTCAAACCCTAAAAGAAAACCTACTGCATTTTAAAAATTAACAAATTGCTTTATTCATGAATTGCTTTCATAAATTGTCACTAAAACTGTAACTAAAAATAAAGCTATTAAAAAGTGTTTTTGTTAATGGAAATACAGCTAAAATAAAAAAAATAGATTTAATATAATCTAATATAAAATATTAGATTAAAAACAAATATTAGGAATGTTGCCTTGGAAATTAATTTAAATAAAATAAGTTGAAGTTGAAGTACTAAAAGCATTAAAACTAAAAATGAAAAAAAAAAATTTATTATATATATATATACTAATAAATAGGAAATAAAATTACTAAACTTCAATTTATTCATGAATCACTTTTATAAATTGTCATATGTGGTTTAGCATGAATTATTGTGATTAAAAATATTATAAAATATAAATATAATATAATATAATATATTAGATAAATATATTAAATTAAAAACAAACTACATTTTTAATGTTGCTCTTGCAACTAACTGAAAAAATAAGTTGAAATACTGAAATCACTAAAACTAAAATGAAAAGAAATAAGGCTAAATAGAAATATACAAAAAATAATAAAGTACATAACTAACTTACTAAAACTTAAATTAAAATGAAAACTGAAAATATTAAAATACAAACTAATTCAAAATATTAATAAATACTATATAATACCACAAATAACACTGATTCTCTGTTCCTATTGGCTACCTTAATGCAGAAGACATGCTCTCCTGGAGCCCCGTAAAGTTTACGGCCATTGAACACTGTGAACACATTCAGATCTTCCAGATCTCCGACGAACTGCAGGTGCCGAGGTTCCTACAAACATACATATGCATCCAGATTTGATATGTATGTTTATGTGTACATACACACTTTGTGTGCTGTGTGTGTATGAATGTGTTTTTGTTTGTGTGTGGCACCTTTGACTGTCCTTTGTTGGAGCAGTACAGTCCAGAGCGTCGTAAAACAAAATAGAGTTTCTTCCAGGACTTTTTTCCGCCCTCTCTCACATGGAGAAAGCCTTGAATCTCTGGACAGGAGCCACTCTTCACCATATTCTACAAGAGAGACGTTTACTGGTTTTATAAAGACAATAAAATTGCCATTTTAATGTTTTAAAAGCTATAGATCGTCATACCTGCACCAGCTCTGATGATGTCATGCCTTTAGTGACATCAGCGCTGTCAGATATCATGTGCTCTGGGAAAAATAACTGCATAACAGGAAAAAAATGAAACAATTACTAAAAATGTCTACATTTGGTAGTTGTAACCGCTTCAGTTAAAAGCATTGTGAACATTTCTATACAAATATATATATTTTCAGATAAATTAGTAGGTGATAATGATAATAAAGAGGTTTCATACCACAGGTTTTTTGAAGAACTCGTACTTAGCGTAGTTCTTGCGGAAGATCAGCTTTGTGTCACTTTCTACAGGCCAGGATGACTGTACCTGCACCACAAGCTCATGGTCTTCCAGACAGCGCTCTGGAGGGGAAAAAAAAAAAAAAAAAGACAAACGCAAAGTTTGAAAATTAAACAATTTCAATTAAAAATTACACATTAAATTAAACTATTTAATTCAATTACAAATTAAAAATAAATTTAATTTAATTTAATTGAAATTGAATTAAAATTTAAATTAAAAATAAATTAAAATAAAATAAAAAAATGCATTCAATAAAATTTAAAAATAAACAAATAAATTTAATGTTAATTTAAATAAATTATACATTAAATTAAACATTAAATTAAATGTCTCCAAGTTTAGTAAAACAATTATTTAAAAAAACGTTGCTAAATACTTTACTAATTGAACTGTCATTCATAAACCATCGAAACCAAAGGTTCGTCCAATCCAGCACCTGTCAAAAGCACAACTAAAGCTACTGTAAAAGCCTGTATAACACGTTGGTTGTGTTCATTTCAATGCTATTTTCCACAACACCCCTGGGTCTGATTTCTTTCAGCAAAAAATCACTCATTATAAAAGCACAGTAAGACATGACAGCTTTTGTCTTAACATTATTTCTACACAAACAAGGTGGCATTTGAGATGGCATTTAGTGGATTTTGTCCAAACAATGAGGCATGAATGTGTGCTTACATTATCGATTTGTCAAAAGCTAAAACACTAGACAGTGATTTGTTTTGCAGTGCAAAATCAAGTGCATGCAAACAACAAAGTGAATGCAAAGCAGCAACCCACTGTTTTCCAATACAAACCTTATTACTATCAGACTTCCTTTGTAGGTGAAGTATGCAATTTTACATTGTATTATGAAAGTATTTGTATTGATAAGTTGCATTATGGAAGATGGAACTCATAGGAGAGTATTAGAAGTGTATCAGCAATTGCATTATGTTGTTTTAGTGCAATAACACCATCCTCAAGTCTTACCCAGGCCTAAAGCAGAATGATGTTCAATGAGAGCCCAGCTTTCCTCATCCGTACAGTGTGCGTTCTGCGCTAGCATACGACAAACATCATGCGCCGTCGTCCCAGACGTCACCAAAACCGACCGACTGTGTGTGGCGTCCCCAAAAACCCGAAGCACCTACGGAAACACGCAAGAATCTGATCATAAACCATTCAGGAACTAAGATGCACGCAAATGCATGAGACGTTTCATGCTTGTTTTGTTTGTTTGAGGTCATGAACTTTTTTGAGTGCCAAAGAATGTGCTTGTGTTGTGTATTTTTATTGACAAGTCTATGAACTGAATGCCATGTGATGTGTTTGTGTACATGCACGCTCGTTTTTCCCCTGAGGATGGCCTGTCATGGTGTCTGTCACCTATTATAACTACTGAGAATTCATAGCGCCACAGGCAACTGTCTGCCATTTGTGTCACAGATTAAACCGTGCACGCTTACATGTGTGCTGCTGTTGGAGGGAGGATCCCTCCCGCTGAAGGATCCGGTCAGCACTGGGGAGTGTGTGGGACTGCAGAGCTCTGGAAACGGATTGGGAATCAAAGGTGCAGATGAAGCTCGAAACTCCCTTTTAGTTGGAATGCTAAAATCACAAGACCAGGAAGAATAATTAGTAAAAAGCATCAAAAACATGTCAACACATTTTGTTTCCATAAACTGAAATATTTCCGACTGAAACAAGATATTTAACAGGAATAAACAGAATAAAGGCAGGACTTCATGAACATTTACTAAACAACTGGCATATTTTATAACATGCATTAATAAATAAATTCTCTCAATAAGACCAGCAATGTTTACTCAAAGTAAAAAAGAGGACCTGTTGCAAAAAAAGAATAAAAAAGTAATTTAGACCAAATGCAATAAAATTATGTATTTAAAATATAAATAACATATTTAAATATAAATAACATTAAACATCTTTAATCTCAACTTTCAACAGTTTTTTCACTTTTGATATAAAATAAGATAAAATAAAATATAATAAAATAAAATGATAAAAATGTATAATGAATGAAATAAAACTATGTATTTAAAATATAAATAGCATCTTTATATATGGAACCTGGAACTGTTTGAAGCTGTTTATACACTATTACTATAGTTTAAAATGAAATAAAATGTATATTGAATGAAATAAAATGATGCATGTAAAATATAAAGAACACAAATATAATTACATCTTTAAACACAACTTGGAACTGTCTGAAGCGGTTTATACAGTTTAAAATGAAATAAAATTCGATTCAATTCAGTTAAGTAATTTAAATTAAATTAAATACAATTATGCATGTAAAAAATAAATAAACAGAATCACATCTTTAAACTCAACTTTCAACTGTTAAAAGCGGTTTATACAGTACTGCTATAGTTTAAAATAAAATAAATGTAAATGAAATTAAAAATTAGTTAATATCAAGATAAATTATAAAAATCGATATATATTAAATTACATTTTTTATGAAATTTAAATAAAACAAAGAGAATTACAGCATTGCTGTTTTTTTGGTTGTGCATTGCAGGGCAGTTTGTATTTTAAGCAAATTTTCAGCCACAGTCAAATAATACAATAAGCACAAAGTGCCACGAGTTACCTGTGGGTCAGAGGTATCGATCGAGGTGTTGACATCTGAAGGATTTGGGAAGATGGAGAACATTTCACAGAAACAGAATCTCTTCTGGACACGGTCTCAATCGACAACCTCCTAAACACTTCCAGCTCTGACCTGCAGCCTTTCACCTCCATCACTGCCGAGAGACACGAGACGAACGCTCCGTTTGAAAAAGTCAGACGCAAAAAATTATTTGACCACTTCAAGGTGTGACTCACATACCGAAATATTTGCTACTCTACACCAACCATGTGTCAAAATATTCAAAATGGGTTTATAAGTACAAAGTTTCCCTTCCCAAAAATAGATTTTACTCAACACGCCAGAACCTGATTTTCAGCCATGAACAAAAAGAAAACAATGACGTGTGCCAAATCGGTGTAAGCGAGGCTTTCAGTCACACCTTTTGTTATTAATCTTTTATCCGCTGTTGCTAAAGGAAACAGAGCTGTTGACTAGACACTCATATGTTGACTGTGTCTGATCGCGCAAACGGAGAACTTGTGAATCGTTCACCTCTTAAACCAGCAAATACACAGTGAATAATAAACGAATGCATGTCAACACTTCTCAGCAAGTCTGTTTGCTGTTCTCTGGTATAAAAGCAATCAACCAATCACACTTTCTAATATTTATTAAACTAGACAAATAACACACAGTTCTTTTCTTTTCTGTACCTAACACACTTAAACACTATCTTGCACCTGTCAAATTAAAAGGGTGATGTCACTCTCCGCAAATAACGCTCCATTGTCCCTGTACAAGGCTGCGGGCTCTACTTACATCAAATAACAAAGAGGGTAAACCACACAGAACACATTTTCATGCTCAAAGAGAACATGCATTCGTGGGTTTCTTTTAAGAATGCATCATTAAATGAGCAGTTCAGAGAGGCTGCAGGTTCAACATCAGCACAACTCCAAACCAAACGTGATGAGTCAAAGTGGCGTGCAAACAGGTTGGAGAAATGAAAGTGCAAGCAGTTGTGCACCTGTTGCTCCGTCCTCTGCATGATAAGCTTGTGTTTGTTCTGCTTTGATGTTGTTTCATCACTTAAAGCAATGTTAAAACAGTAGTGTACAATAGTGTAATATAGCATAGCTCAGCAAATGATGAGAACAACTGCATTGTATCAATAAAAAGTACATGCAAAATTAAATCATATTTTTAATACTTCATAAAGCAGTTCTTGAGACAAACAAGTCTCAAGTCTTTTTTTTTTTTCTTGGGTTACTTTTAACTTGTGTCATGTTGGATATTATTCAGCATTAAGTCACTATTATTAAATAAAAGATCTATTAGCACATATAATTATGCAAGTTAACACATCCACACATTTTCTTTTGTTTGTTCTTTCTTTAAAATAATGACATTGATCATGTTTCATAATTTTAACCCATTTATGCTTTATTTTTTATAAGTTTGACCAGGCAGATTTAGGAATCACTGTTCTAGATGTACAGATGATGCTCATAAACAGACATTTATGCCACTTTTACTAACTAAAAAGTACCGTGGTATTACCATGCACGCTGGAGTACCTTGTAAACACCATTAAAGGGTGAACTCCGTAATTTGGACGACAGTTTCACATTGAAATTACTGTTTTTTGACCTGAATTAACCCTATTATTCAGTGCTGTGCTGTGTTGTGCTGTATATCAAAGTACCGTTTTACCACAGTAATTTTTGGAAAGCGTATTATAAAACAAAAACCCATATTCATCACTAAACTTCGAATATCAGGACACGTTGTAAAACAGCTCAGAGGCACTTGATAATAGGTTAACAGTTAAGAGTTTAATGTAAGTCATACAGTTAAAGCGGTGTAAGTAACTCACCTGCATGTAAACCGTCCACTTGTTGTTGTCTGGTATCGGTATATGGTGACACAAGCTGAAGTTAAAGTGTTTGTGGAGTGTTTCATCAAGTCCAGCCGGCATGAGTAACATCCTCTTTACTCCAGTCGAGTTTCGTCTGAAAACACCTGACGCGTGGGCGGAGCTCATGAACGCACAGGTGCAGGAAGGGCGGGGAAGTTCACGCCTACACTCAACAGACAGGCAGGTGATGAGCTCATGCTGGTTTTTCTACAACAGCCCATGTGCTTTTACTTTACATAACAGGCTGCTTATAGGCCACGTATTTGAACTTCAACTGATTATGTCATAACTTTTTAAAGTTGAGTAAATGTTGACAAAAGATTTACTCAGCCTCATGTCGTCCCAAAGTTGTTTTGGACTCCATTGACTTTTGTATGGACGAAAATAAATATTCTTTAAAATATATTATGTTTTTCGACAGAAGTCAAGTCAGTCAAACAGGTTTGGAACGACATGAGGCTGATTAAATTATGACAATTATCTTCTTTCTTTTTTTTTGGTGAAATATATAAAGGAGGTCAAATAAACACTAATTATATTTCAGGATGCCTGTTGTCAGCTGAAATTAGAACAAAACATCTATAACACGGAGCCATAAAATGTGACCTCAAAAAGAAATGGTCCAATGACACACCTTGTTGCCCCTCATTAGCGGTAAATGTGTCATAGCAGGGAAGTTCAATCTTTGAGCAATATCAAGTCAAATTGCCTGCTTATTATTTTGACAAACTAACAAGGGAAAGATTTCATATTCATAATATGGGAATGTAGCAAAACTAGACTATTTTTAAGATTTTAATTTCCTGCATTTGAAGCCAAAGATTACCTGCACTAATAGTAATCCAGCCTCTGTTACAGTTTACCTGAAGCATCTGACACACTTTACCCCACTGCTACTATTTTGGGTAAAAAAAAAAAAAAAAGTCCTTGATAATCTGTAGTCAACTATATTTTTTTATAACTGAATACATTAGTTTTGATATCAAATTTACCTGCTATGAAGAAAATTTACTTTGAATTAAAAAATAGTAATATTACGCAAAAAAACATTCTTACCTCTTTCTCATATGCATCTCTCAATCACAGGTTTACCAGGGGTAGCACATCTGTCTATCTGTTATACTTTTCCTTAATAAACATTTACTATGGTAATCATATTTCCCAGTAAAATACCATAGTTACTATAGCTAATTGTGGATAATAACGAGTTAGCACAGCTTTAATAATTGCATTAACACATGTAGGTTTAAGTATTTTGGAGAAAACCATGGCACATTTTTCCACAATAATTATTTTCAACATTGATAATATAAAAGTTTCTTAAGCAGCAAATCAGCATATTAGAATGATTTCTGAAGGATCATGTGACACTGAAGACTGGAGTAATGATGCTGAAAATTCAGCTTTGATCACAGAAATGAATTACATTTTACAATATATTAAAATATAAATCAGTTATTTAAATAATATAATAATATTTCACAAATGTTAACATTTTTACTGTATTTTTAATTAAATAAATGCATCTTTGGTGAGCATAAGAGACTTTGAAAAACATTGAAAAAGTTACCAACCCAAATGTTGTAACAATCAATTTTATTACATTTTACTTGCTGAATAAAATATTAATTTTATATAAATATATATATATATATATATATACTAATCATCAGTGTTGGGGTTACGCGAGTTACGTAATCAGATTACTTTTTTCAAGTAACTAGTAAAGTAACGCATTACTTTTTAATTTACAAGAGAATATCCGAGTTACTTTTTTAAATAAGTAACGCAAGTTACTTATTTTTTTCCAATTTATTGATTGACAGCTCTCCTGTCCTCATGCTGAGAAATCAGGTTACTGTAGTTCTAAAATAAATATGAATATGCATTCTCACTCACAAAAAAAAAAAACAGATTCAGTATTCCTCAAAATGAATAAAAATAATGCAACTCAGAATATGACGCAAACCTGCAATAATTAAATGTTAAACAACACAAATATCCTTTATGTATTTAATCCCATTCTATTAACCAATGTCTTTGCTTCTGACCTTCGATGATCCAGTTCAACCGTACTAATAAGCACAAATTACTCTAGACAAACATTTGTGTCTTTTTTTACTGCTGAAGCGTGTTGAAATTTCTTCTTCTGCATTCTACTGTACGGACGTAAATTTACTTTCCCTTCAGCCTGAGGCTTATTCATTTCACTTTTGGTGTGAAAAGGCTTTTATATTTGCCAAAAATAGAACTTTTTTTATTTTTAAAAACAAACAAGCAAGCCCTGTCCAGATTTAAAAAGTAACGCAAAAGTAACATAACGCATTACTTTCCATAAAAAGTAACTAAGTAACGTAATTAGTTAATTTTTTATGGAGTAACGCAATATTGTAATGCATTACTTTTAAAAGTAACTTTCCCCAACTCTGCTAATCATAAACTAAACATACATCATCTACATAAATTTCACCTAATACACTTAAATGTTAAAGGAACAATGAAATGTTTAGCCAAACTTTAGGTTTGTTTGTAGTTAACTTAGGGTTTCATAAAACCTCTGATCTACAATACACAACTTAAACAACCATTTTATTTTGATCAAATCTAAAATAATCTTTGTGAAAATATTACTTTAAGAACACTGCATTAATCTCAATTCTCAACTGGAAACTTTCCATTTTTACACCCCACAAGATTCTCCAGTACACACAAAATAAACAAAGAAACTTGTAATATATGATGTTTTTAATTCAAATCAAATCCAACAATTTGGTGGTGGGGGAATGTTCAGCAGTCTGTGATTGTGCTTGGGGTCTGTGTGGCGGCTGGAAACAGGTAGTGTACAGCAGGAAACCAGAGATCTGCCCACGACTCCACTACCCACATTCGGACACATTCACTAATTAAAACATGGAGCTAAAGAGCCGAAAATAAAGCAGCCTGATTTTCAAATGACTGAAAAGAACAATCAAGGATGCGGTGGTGGGGGAAATCTGAGCGAATCGATCCTGACCTGATACAGGTTACACCACAGTTTTTCCTAAAGGTACAGGGCAGGTTTTTAATCTCAATTTAAAACGCTATATCCAAAGTGTACGGGTTGTATATTCAGCAGGCCAGTAATACTGGAATACTAGGTTATTGCAGGTGCATTATGACAACCTTGGTTCTTTCTTCGCCATGTGAAAACCATGCGTGGTGCAGTATGGAGCAAAAACAACGAGTCGTATTACAGTTTGTGAGGTGGAACGATAAGAGGAGATGTGTGTGTATAAAAGGCACGCCAGGGTCATTCCCAAACCAAGCAAACAGACAGAGAAGCCTTCATACACACATGAACACACAGAAACGATACATTCTTGCTAACGTGCATAATAAAGATAAACTATGCACACACGCACACACACAAACACAGTCTGAATCAGCAATGCCCAAACCTAAACGAAAGAGGGGAACATGGGATACTGAGTTCAGCCAAAGTCTGGGTCAGTACTTTAGCTGTGTGTGTGTCTCGCTCGCTCTCAAACACGCGCACAAATCACGCACACCTACCCATTCGTACAACAACACACACACACATATTTGGAGGCTGTAGAAGAGCTCATTTCTGATTTTTCAGCTGATTGGAGAGCCAGTCCAGCCCCTCGTAGAGCCCGTCTCCGCTGGTGGCGCAGGTGGCCTGGATGTACCAGTTACGATGACGAAGGGCGTGAAGGCCCAGTTTATCTGTAATCTCAGCTGCGTTCATGGCATTGGGAAGGTCCTGTGATGGACAAGAGACAAATCCAATCGCAGAGATTCAGAGACAACCAGACAACATGCGCATCAGTCACATAAAATCATCATGAAATGGCATTCTCACAACCTATTTTACTCATGTAATGAGAAACAGGATTTTCAAGTGAAACAGGATATCTAATGAGTAATTTTTTTTTTTTTTAAGATCGTGAAAAGCACACCCAGACTTTACATTAAACATCACTTTAAACCTCAGAAACCCAAGCAGTAATAGTTCATTATGAATTTTTTTTCCACCATTAAACATTTTGTTAGGAAGCCATTATATTATAAAAAACATTTATTTTAGGGTTGCAAAAATTCACCAATATTTTTTGATATAGTGACAGTTTTGAATTCACAATAAAATTCAGCACACAATGTATTTAAAAAAAAAAAATAAATAAATA